GGTAATTAAAACCTTGTTGTGAAGTTTGAAGTTAATCCGTTAATAATTACTCAAAATATCGAACGGACAGTTTCGGCAAGTCCATAAAGGGGCATAACTCCACAAATTATAGTCGGATAATGGCGGTTATCGAACTTGTCCAAGGTTTCATGGTAATTAACCTTGTTGTGAAGTTTGAAGTTAATCCGTTAATAATTACTCGAGATATCGAGCGGACATCGTTCGCCCGCCCGCCCGACCGCGTGATAACATAATACGTCCCCGTCTTCGACGGGCGTATAAAAATTGTAAGTGAGAAAATCCTAGCATTATAGAGAAAAAATATACACTCAGTCAATAAATGTTTGTGAATGTAAAAGATATTTCTAAAACTAACTGATGCTTCTAAAAGTAATAGAAATTTACAAAATTTATAAAACAGACATTTGTAAAATTAATACATGGTAATGTATGTGTAATATAGATGTTTATAGAATATGGCAACTTGACAAATAATTTGACTGACAAATTAGAATGAATTCGCCCACGATTTAACAGACACTGTAACCAGGGATAAAGTTACAGAAATCGTAAATCCAGGTTCCATCCATTATATTACAGAACAGAGTCGTATGTGGACATGAAATGTGCTATAAGGACCATTGTTGACTTGTATCTATGTGGCGATTTCTCCAATGTAATAGGGAAACAATGCGATACGAAGAGTAATTACAATTGATAAGCCTAAAACAAACCTGCTATGATAATTATCGCAATGATTTAACCCTCCTACAGAGGCAATTATAGTATCTTAAAAAATATTTTTTACCTTAAACTGCTAATTATTATCTTTTCTATCTGTTGACAAATGTTTATCTTATTGTAAGGAATGGATAAGTGATGTTTTCTGACACATAACTAATGGCTTCGGACACATGAAGATTTTATCCATCTCTAATGAGTTTCCATTTATCATTTATCCGCAGAAGAAAATGTCAGTGACCTCACTTAAACAGTCCAATATCATGTCTCCGACATAATAAAAACTCTGGCCTTGGTCAGTTTATCTCAGCATTTCCATTACAAATTTGACCACAATCTGTACTAACTTTCTGAGGAGATTTCTTTATCATCAACAATAAAGGCTCATGCTTTGTTTTGATAATATTCATCCATGAGAAGAATTCTAACAGAAATTTTGCTGATGAAGCAAACAGTAAATAAGTAATAGTTTTAAGCTTAAAACATGTTCATTCCACATTGAAGGCATGATATCATACCAGGATTTTAATGGATATTTTCGGTGATTTTGAGATATTTAGCATATAACCATTGATTTTCTCTCTAATATCTTTAAACAAGTTTCTCCTGTCTGAATGTGAAAAATTGCATCATTCTTCAAGCTCTAAATAAAGTACGTATTCTATTACTTTCTCATCCCTAGACAAAGGGTCCCTTCCGAGTAACTGCATCTGTACTGCTTTCCATATTTGTGTAATAATTGCTCTCTCAGACATTAAAGCTGACCAGTTTTAGGAGATTGTGGATGGATTACTCCCTCGGGATGTAACAAGAAAAGGGTAAGTCCATTTTGAGTATGCTTGCACTCTCGGTCTGTATGGAACAAAGAGTATGCTAACTTTTTTGAGTAGCCTTTGCTGTATTAAACAAGCATGCAGTCTGCCGTTTGTAGACATGATTTGCTGTATTACACAAGCATGCAGTCTGCTGTTTGTAGACATGATTTGCTGTATTACACAAGCATGCAGTCTGCTGTTTTTGGACATCATTACTGAATAACCTAATTAAGTTATTCTATAAAATGACATGTTTTGTCATGAATTTTACCAAGAACAGAAGAATACTGCCCTTTGCCTTCTAGTACAGATATGCATCATGACATCTACCAGTTGTTTCTGATAGCATATTGAAGTGTATAAGGTACCTGAATATTATCATTGTAGCCAGATCAGGATAAAACATTACCCAATAGAGGCAACCTTTAAAAAAAGAATGAATATATGAACTAGGTGCATAAATTTATCAATTTTCTCGTAGATATACAAGTTCATGTGATTTTACCAACACATTTACTTGTGACATCGTTTACATCTCCTAAATGTCAGCATAATGTGCCCCCTTAACGGTAAAGATGGTACTGATCAATACATAAAATCTTCTACTCATTATTGGCAAAGAATTAATAGTTGTTATAGACTGAAAGCATCTTACACACATTTTGCTTCTAACTCTTAAGCTTAAGTATATATCTCACACAGGTCATAAAATTTAACAGTGCCGTTTCAGTTCTGAACAACACTCGCAAAACTCCATTCCAAGCATTTTCTCAGATCATGTAAACTCTCTATATATTTGATTTATTGTTCGGAAGTTTCAGTGAATCTAATCTCGAGTCACATGCAAACAGGAAATTAATTTTATCAAAAAATAGAAATAAATTCTAAACAATTCAGTTTTGTACCTTTGAAGATGAGCTCATTTTTTCAAGAAAAATAAAACTAGTTATTACTGCATTTTGATATCACACCACTGTCAATATCTGAAACAAATTGTAAATTTCTAAGTTGAACAAACAAACCTTCAAATTGAGGATTAAGTGCTATCCAACATTTCAAATTGAATTGTGCTTGGATTTTCTCTTTCGAAATGTATATATAATAAATTTTGATACATATCTCAATTCAATCGTAGGATCTCCCTTGAAGGAGATTGTCCCGTATTAATGCCTTAGAAACTATGATGCTATAAAAAGGGCGGAAAACAACACAGTAATTCGACCAGACATGACTGTAAAAAGATACTTAATTTTCGCTCTTTGACATCTGAGATTGAAGATTGTGGAATTTGTCAAAATCTAAATCAAGAATTTACACCAATCCCTCGAGAGCTGTGAAAAAAGACCACTTTAAGCATGAAAGAAATTAGAAGTTACGAGAAAATTCGAGGTCAATTTAGGTAACCTTGATAACCACCCACAAAGACAAACATTTCTTACATCTACCAAAGCATCTATATAGAGTTCTGTTGACTAGTATATCATGTTTCTACTTTTCCTCATATAAAATTCCCCAGGGGCTATATAATATGTTCTTCCAAATAAAAAGAGATAATTGTATTTGTGTTTTTTTCCCTTCAATCCATATAAGTCATATATTGTACCTTATCTTTTCTCAATCTATCTAGCTGACAAGGGGAGAAGCAATTTTAGCTGAAAATCTGCCTCTCAGCGAAAAAGGTTTTTGCTAGTTTCATAGAGTTTATTTCAGAATGACAATGTTTTTTCATAAATTTTGTCAACACCTTGACTTTTCTGGAATGCTTTGTCACCATTATTGCAAAACTGTAGACACAAAAAAAAATATCACTTGCAAAAAAAATGTCCCCTGTGAAGTTTATTTTAATAAAGCAATCAAATATTGGAAAATGGTAATCACCAATTTTTTCTCAGGCTCAGCGTTTAGTTGAAAAACAACAGGCCCATGTGCTTCAACCTTCATACTCCTTTTAGTGTATATATACAGATCCTCATAATATAAGGATTGTTTCATAAAATGTTGGTGAAAGTCTGACTGTCAGAGGAGATACTATTTAAAGGATTTGTGCTTTGTGGCCTCTAATGGCCACCCCTCTTTCTCATGGAGGATCGACACATTGTTGAGTTAAAATATTGATTATGATCATATAATTATGAATGATTTCATAAAAGGTGGCCAAAACCCACCTGTTACTTTCAGAGATCACACCGTCAGAGATCAGAAACATACCCAATACTGAAAATCAAGAAGACATACCAGACTTGAGGAGGTCCTGATGAACACTGAAGGGGTGAAGGATTTCCACATCGTAGTTGGCTGATGAGCTGGCATTCTGCTCCTCCTACAAGTGCAGCAAACAAAAGCAATGACATAAAAATAATCTGTTTCTTACAAATTCTGAAAACTTATTTAAAATTAATCTTCATGGAGCATGTTGAAAGACTTTCACTTCAGTTTAAGACCATGATTATCAATAAAATTATCGGGGTATGTATTGCTGCTATGTAAACAAGTTTGTACCTGCTGTTGGACCTTTTCAGCTGCATGACCTTTGACCTTACCTTCATGGACATCCAAGTAACTGTCTTTTGGATCTTTACCCTCATGGGTATTCTGGTAACTGCTTTGCAGGTGAGGTCATTTGACATTTGACCTTACCCAGTAACTTTGGGGGTATCTTGGTAACTGTTGCAGTGGCGAGTTTGTAACAGTTGTGTGGCCTTACTTTCATGGATATCATGGTTACTGTTGAGTTGGCAAGGTTGTCGTGACTAGGCGTAACTAGGGTAACACTGTAACTGCTATGGGGTAAGGGTATTCCAGGTGTGTGATGTTTGACCTTACTCGGTAACTTTGTGGGTATCTTGGTAACTGTTAAGGTGGCAAGGTTGTTGTGACTAGACGTAACTAGGGTAACACTGTAACTGCTATGGGGTAAGGGTATTCCAGGTGTGTGATGTTTGACCTTACTCGGTAACTTTGTGGGTTTCTTGGTAACTGTTGAGGTGGCAAGGTTGTCGTGACTAGACGTAACTAGGGTAACACTGTAACTGCTATGGGGTAAGGGTATTCCAGGTGGGTGATGTTTGACCTTACTCGGTAACCTTGTGGCTATCTTGGTACCTGTGAGGTGGCAAGGTTGTTGTGACTAGACTTAACTAGGGTAACACTGGAACTGCTATGGGGTAAGAGTATTCCAGATGTGTGATGTTTGACGTTACTCGGTAACTTTGTGGGTATCATGGTAACTGTTGAGGCGGCAAGGTTGTCGTGCCTAGGCGTAACTAGGGTCACACTGTAACTGCTATGTGGTAAGGGTATTCCATGTGTGTGATGTTTGAACTTACTCGGTCACTTTGTGGCTATCTTGGTAACTGTTGAGGTGGCAAGGTTGTCGTGACTTGGCGTAACTAGGGTAACACTGTAACTGCTATGGGGTAAGGGTATTCCAGGTGTGTGATGTTTGACCTTACTCGGTAACTTTGTGACTATCTTGGTAACTGTTGAGGTGGCAAGGTTGTCGTGACTAGGCGTAACTAGGGTAACACTGTAACTGCTATGGAGTAAGGGTATTCCAGGTGTGTGATGTTTGACCTTATCTACAGCAGTATTCCTAAACTGTGTGAATTTCATACTTACCTTTATTGGTATGCCAGGGAACTGTTGTAGATGCCAGCTTATTCTAGGTGTGTGACCTTTGACCTTACCTTCATGGGAATCCCAGTAACTGTTGTGGAGGCGAGGGTATAGTGTTGTTGTACCAGTTGTATGAGTCTGTTGTACAGGTGACGACCGGACTGTGTAGAGTAAACCTCGCTGTTCAACTGTGGCGACACCTAACACATAAAACACCAAGAAACTTTTGTCAACATCTCAACATTGGAAAACACTACCTCGGATTCTACAAGCCAAAATGATCACAAAACTACCTGTAGTTTACCATTCACCTTATGACACAAGATGTTTTAATATTTGTGAGAATATTTTTTGTCATCTTTGCACAGTAACTAGTAGTAAATACAGCCTATAGCGACGTCCTGATAAAAACTTAATATGTCAGGTGATATGGCATCAAGCTAAATATTTTACCCATCATAGATTTGTAATTTTCTTTTAAATTTAAACAATATCTGGCTTATTTCATATCAGTTATATTCAAGTTTTATGGTTTCCTGACAAAACATCATTTTGTGGGTACATGAATTATTATGAGTACCCACTCAAACGGAGAATTGCTTTTTGGATCTATGAATTTGTGGATGAAGATTACCAATGAAATCTGCAAAATTACAAACCTCATAAAAATGAGTTATTTCACAATATAAAAAGAACCAATTTCAAAAAAAGTATAGTGAAACAGTTATTTAACGCCATTCCGCCTTTTAGATCCGTTATATACACAGGTATTCAATTGCTTTATCTTTGCAAACTGCATCATGATGATCTAGTAAGCTGGCAATTTCCTATATTATTAGCAGTTATCCAGTTTATGATGATATAAAAAATCTCCTCCTTTTCAAAACCAGATGTAAGAATGAGCCCACACAAACTTCATACCCGATAACTACAAATTACCATTAACACTTGAGAGCTTGTTTAAGGGAGGTCACTCTACATTTCAACTTAATCTTTTGATAATGTAATGCTATGTTTTCATCTAGGTAATAAGTTTTTATAATTGCAGGCCTACCAGGAGTAGCAGCTTCAATGCATGTTCCCGGCACAATTAAAACCCAATAATTATATTATTATGCAATATTGGATTCTCCTTTAAGGTGAAAAATGATATATTGACTTCAAAGCCAAAGACATCTGCTTGATTAGAACAAACATTCTTGTACAAATGAGTTTTCTTGAGGAGGCTGTCCATATAATTTTACTGCAAACATGATGAATGAACCCTAAAAAAGATGAACACTTAAGCACTGTGATCATTCTATGAAGCCAATAGTTGTTAAGATATTGAAAATATTAAAGGAAGCAATATTGAGAGGAGTTGGAAATAAATGTATCAATATATCTGAGGTGATAGAACTTCATAAATTTCTTCCTCCATATTTTTCAGATTAAATATTCTTATTTTCTAAAAATAAGAAAATCAAAATGACTAGAAATAGGGGGATGTTCCAGCTTTGCTAAATATTATGTAAATTGCTAATTAAATGATGTTAGCAGGAAGATAGGAACATGACAAGCCACCTGCGTATTCCGTGGTGCAAACAGGAAAATTTGGTCCACATATCTAAGTGACAGTGAGCTAACAAAAAAAATAATCGCATACACACAAAAAAAGTATCTGAATTAAATTCTTTATATACCTTACAAATCTGGTAGATTAGCATTTGAATGCACAGGTTTTTATTTCCAATACAATACAGAACAAAACACACACACCCAATGCCAAACTGGACAATTTAGGAATAGAACTTGGCATTGCTCCATTTTGCCCATAAAAGATTCATCTTAAACCATTAATACCAAAGGTATTTCTGATTGTTCATTAATTGTGACAAATTTTGTTATAAGTGTTAATATTGACCAAGCTTCATCCGAATCCTTTCAAATTTGACTAAGCTATTGTGAAGAAATAGTTGAAAAATTAGAATACAGTGTGCTGTATCATGACGACTGAAATATAATCCCCTGTGAAGTGTTGGACTGAACATGGGAGGCTGGTACAGTATAGATTCTATGAGAAGCTTATTACATGCGAGATGTATCTAAAGATAATTATACTCAGATGTTTCTTGAGTATGACATAATTCCTCAAGTAAGACAGAAAAATAGAAACTCAAGCAGTTTAAAATTAAGAAATTATGATATCAAACATAATAATTGAACTGGAATGATATGGAACAAAACAGGTTGGTTATAGTCAAATGCGTAAATTACCTGACGATTGGCTTTATCCACAATCTTGGTGTCATCTCCAACTGGTACAATGTGTATCAATAGTAACTCACAGTGCTCAATGACCATCAGACTGAAAAATACAAGGGGAGACAATCATCATCCACTGTTCCTATAAACCAGGGGAGAAAACTGTTACTTACTATTCACTAAATCATCTCCCATTTTACTATCACAACATTTCTCTGCAACTCCCTTTGATAATATATTTCTATCACATTCTAGAGCATGACAGATTGCATTGTGATGAAATCATAGAACCAATATCGTACAGTATCACAATAATTTTGGCAGAATGACAAGGGGAGACAATTGTCAAACATAGCTCTTACAAATAAGTAGAACATCATTACATTGCTCCAACTAATAAGGGGAGACAATCATCCTTGGCGTCGCCACTGCACATTGATAATTGCATAGAAAGGTTCCTCTACAGATCTTTTGTTTTGTTTGTATAAGATAATTAAAGGCAATTTAAAGCATTTTTTTCTGCGTTAGAGTTACTGCCATTGGTAAGATACTTATTTTTCATAATGATGGTACCTGGTACATGTAATATTGAATTTATGTCTCAAGTTCAACCCCTTGAATTTCGTTTTTGTCTTTTGTTTCCACGTACTCAAAAAACTTCAAACAAACATAAGTCTGTAAAATGCATCACAAGGTGTGTTTTATTTCAATAATCACTGTTGTCACTGTTGAAAATAATTTAGCAAATATTTCATGACAGTGTCAATGGTGATGATATATTTGAACTTGATGGAACTGACTTTATACCTTAAAGAAACAGCGTCATAAAGCTGTCCCAGATCATCTAAATTTGGGATAGCTTCCTTAGTTTCAATTGAAAACTTTCTAAAATCAAGATTCACTTTTTTTGTTAATCAATATCTGACAAAATGGGTTAAGGGAGGGTCAGTAAGAAGAGAAAGGAGAAGAGATGGGGGAAGGGTCAGAAACCAAGAGATGGGGGAAGGGTCAGAAACCCCCAAAACCTGGTGAACTGCCCCTGTGATCGAGTTGTTGAGATCAATACCAACACATGCCTACTGACAGTAAGGTCCTTGGAATCCACTTATCACCAGCTAATGGGTGGCGAGGATAAAGCAGGACGAGACGGAGTAAAAGTCTCGGTCAATGGATTCCTCAAATAAACATCAACATTCATACACGTTATGTGCTGTTGGGTTTGCTTTATAGAGATGGACTTGTGACGGGTCTAGTACGGACTTCCCAGGTCACTGGAACACACGCCTTAAATATTTGTTAGCTTATCGCAAGTTTCATTAAAAAAAAAATATCAAAAATTCCTATACAAATAACTGCAAATTTCTTATTGTTTATTTTTTGTGTACATACATATTTTGTGTATTGAGACAATTATCAGTTATGATAATAAAATACAGTGCATGCGATTTTCAAATTCTTGACTGGCTCTCTACATAAAGATATAAGATTATATCAAGCATGAATTAACACCAGAACATTATAAAAACAAACTATTTGAGGATTTCAAAGACTGTACTTGCTGTAGTTTAAACTAGGAAATATGTACATCAATTGGAAGTTGGACTTCACCAATCTTTATCAAAACTTTATCAAACCACACATTACATCGTATAACATTTTGAAATAAAAATAACTTGACATTGGTCAGCTGATCTTTGGTTTGTGATCGACTGTATCAGCTGTGAGTCAGAATGTTTAAGATTAGGTCTGGAGATAAAGACTGTCAACATCATTGATATTAACACAGTGGACATCACATGTTCTATACACTCCTACGTTATCTATCTTGACCTTTTGGTCACGTCTGATCAGTAAGACACAGCTATGTGTTACATCAGAGACAGATCCAGTCTAGACGTTCACAGGCCTTATTCCACTTCAAAGTTCAGCGAAATAGGTTTCCATAGCCTCCCTCTAGAGATGACATTCAGCAAGTGTATTTTGAAAACAGGAAGTTTCTATATCTGAAACATCATGAAGGCTCAGTAATCCTTTGTTGCCATGAGTTTGTGTATTAAACATATTCCATACTTAATGATACTTGTGTCTTCACTTGAGTATTCTGTTGTGTCTTCACTTGAGTATTCTGTATGAGTAAAATACATGTGACAGGAAATAGAGAAATGCACAGCCAAAGCGGGATTCAACCCGGAACCTTCCAAACTCTAGACAGACTCTCTACCAACTAGACAGACTCTCTACCAACTAGACAGACTCTCTACCAACTGAGCTACCTGGACCTGTATTCATGAAACCGTTCTTATGCTCAAGCAAGCATGATTCTGTGCTCAAACCAACTTTCTTGTAGCTCGCTTAAATCAAATGACACATTAAAAAAGTATCTTCTGATTTCTTCCAAATTATTGTCAAAATGTGAAATATAAAGATTGATCACGGAATCATAAATTTGGCTTGAGCACAAAATCTGAGTTTGAGCATGAGAACTACAGTTTCATGAATAATGGCTGTGGTCACCGGAGAACAACCCAGTCCAGTTCCGCTACATATATATATAATCATTTCATTTTCTTTATAATCCTATGATATATTTCAGCCATCTTTGTTTCCAGAAAAAAGTGGCTAAATGGTGAGACAGTTGGATTACTGGGACACTTTAAAATAGAAAATGGCTGGATTATAAGTTGGACAACGGCATGAGTGGTGGCTGAACTAACAAGACTGGATCACGACACACCGTTTAGTGGTGGCTGCACTAACAAGACTGGATCACGATACACCGTTTAGTGGTGGCTGAACTAACAAGACTGGATCATGAAACACCGTTTAGTGGTGGCTGAACTAACAAGACTGGATCATGAAACACTGTTTAGTGGTGGCTGAACTAACAAGACTGGAAAACGATACACCGTTTAGTGGTGGCTGCACTAACAAGACTGGACTGGATCACGATACACCGTTTAGTGGTGGCTGAACTAACAAGACTGGATAACGATTCACCGTTTAGTGGTGGCTGCACTAACAAGACTGGATCACGATACACCGTTTAGTGGTGGCTGAACTAACAAGACTGGATCACGATACACCGTTTAGTGGTGACTGAACTAACAAGACTGGATCACGATACACCGTTTAGTGGTGCCTTCACTAACAAGACTGGATCACAATACACCGTTTAGTGGTGCCTTCACTAACAAGACTGGATCACAATACACCGTTTAGTGGTGGCTGAACTAACAAGACCGGATCACGATACACCGTTTAGTGGTGGCTGGACTAACAAGACTGGATCACGATACACCGTTTAGTGGGGGCTTCACTAACAAGACTGGATCACAATACACCGATTAGTGGTGGCTGAACTAACAAGACTGGATCATGAAACACTGTTTAGTGGTGGCTGAACTAACAAGACTGGATCATGAAACACTGTTTAGTGGTGGCTGAACTAACAAGACTGGATCACGATACACCGGGGGGTGGTGGCTGCACTAACAAGACTGGATCACGATACACCGTTTAGTGGTGACTGAACTAACAAGACTGGATCACAATACACCGTTTAGTGGTGGCTGCACTAACAAGACTGGATCACAATACACCGTTTAGTGGTGGCTGAACTAACAAGACTGGATCACGATACACCGTTTAGTGGTGGCTGCATCATTGAGGCTGGAAAGTGGGACAACTGGATTAGCAATGACTGAATTAACAATATTCAATAATATGCTGTACTATTCACTGAAACTTGCCTTCGTGGACATCATATTGGCCTCAATCATGCATTTACTCAGATTATGACAGTGTGTCCCGAAAGTCTGGTATCCAGACACAGAGACCAGTCTTTGGGGGCCACACAATCATAGACATTACAGGATGACCTTATGATCAAGCCAGGGGTTCATTAAATCCTGGTTATTGTTGTTGGAAAGCGATAAAAACATCCATAAATTGAACTTTGATGATCCAAATTTCGGATATTTTTTTACAACATTACTGATAATCCATTTATGAATCAAACATTTGTTGTCAAATTTCTACAATCAAGGCCCAATATTTAGGAAAACACTGAAACTTGCAACTTATATATCGAAGTAAAACATAAAACCTGTACCAGAGCATTGAAACTTTAACACCAAAACATACAAAGTATCGTGAACAAAAATATCAAACATATTTTTCAAATTACATTAAATCCAATATTTATAGATTTCAAATTAAACCTTTTGCCTTGTGTTCTGTCTTTCAACAACTATATTCCATCTTATGCAGATTTTAAAGATATTAAAACTTCAAACTTCCTGAGTCAAATTAAGTCTCAATGTTTCCAATTCTTTCCATGGTCCTGCAAAAGTGGAAACATGGAAGTTTGATTTCATATTCAAGAATGAATGCCGATCCATTTCAGGAACACAATGCATGTGATGTGAGCAAAGTGTCACCACTGTGAAAAAAACTGATCCATGTTACTTGACATGATCAGTTTCATTATATTGCCATTACACTTATCGGAGATAATTGGCTAGGAAAGTTGGACAGTGAATATCAGGAATTTGAAAGACGCAGTCACAATGCAGTTCAAACAATTCTTAATTTCCTGTCACTTCTGAGCGGCCACTACTCATCTTGTATGGTCCCCCGTATGATTGATCAGGATGGACTACCACAGGGTAGTTTCTGAATTGTAAAGATATCAATGTTTTGATTATTTTTCACAGCAGTACAGATCTTCATACTGATCAAGGGATGATATTTATAGTTGTCTGTAGGATACAATAGTAACAATACCCCATCAAGTTAAACTTTCAATGCATTTAGGTACATTTGTGGTTGATTCAATATTCATTGCACATCATTTAGATCATCCAAAAAGTCAGCAAAAAAAAGAGTGATGAAAAAGTAAATGGTAACTTAATTAGTCATGCAATACAAGTAATTTTTATTTTTTATTTTTATTTTAAATACAAATTTTATTGTATTTTCCCCCCTTAGGTAATGTAATGCAGATATAGTCCCTGGCCAACCAGTCACTATTTTGGTGGCAGTGGTGGGATATGCTTTTTTTGTGTTATTTAGGTTTAACATCCTCACAACAGCCAGGGGCAT